CTCAAGTGGTAGAGCGCTAGCCTTGAGCTGAAGAGCTGAGGGACAGCGCCCAGGCCCAGAGTTCAGGCCCCACGACGGGACCCAAAAAATAAAAAGGAAAAGAAGTGACTTGAAGACATATACTACATGGGTCCCCAAAGTAAAGGGATAGTTTTAGGAGTAGAGAAGCAGGCACACCTGAAAGCTTCGATGAGTCGTTCTACTTTCTGGGCCTCACCCTGTACCCGAATATGGGATTGGAATTTCCGGAGTGCATCATCCAAATCCATAGAAGAAAAATCCATCTCATCTACTACACAGCTGAAGAGCAAAAAAGGAGGCACGCCACTCAATTCCTCTGTAGAAACCTCCAACCCACCCAGACCTGTTCAAATGGCCTGACCTCCCCACTGGTAAGATTTTCAAAACCAGGACCCATGGCTCAAACAAGCACATATGAGGACAGAGTGTTAGAAACTATCCCTCAAAATATCCCTCAAAATGTGTGGTCATATAGGATCCTTTCCAGCAGTCCATTCATTTCAGAGATGGGAACACTGAGACCCCAAATAGGCTATAGCATGAGCAGGCCCTGCCAGAAGACTTCAAGAATAGAATCTGGGGAGATCAGATCCCTTTGGGACAGAAGGGTATGGAAGCAGGAGACTTTGTTTATCCTGTCCTTTTATCTGAGCAGAAAGGACAGGCTGCTCCCTCTTCCCTCCTGCCTTCCTTCAGAAATCCCTGGTCTGCATGCCCAGTGTTGGGGTTCTCACTCTAGTACATCTCTGTTGAACTGCTTCTGCCGGTTTCCTAGGAATTCCCCTATCATCTGTCGGCTCAGGCCTTTCCGCTCCAGGATGAAGTGAGCCACTCCCACTGGTGTGTCTGACAGGAAACCTCGCTCGATCAAATACTGGATACCCTTCTCTGGCTTCCTGCAGAAAGAGAGGAGGTAGATGAGATGACTGTCTTCCTGGAACTGTGCCTTCTGTCCCATTTCTAGAATTAATTTTAGGCCCTCCTATTCATGGTTTCAGAGAATCAAGGATCTTGGATCTATATGGTCCAATCCTTTCCTGGTATATGAAAAACTAGGACTCAGGGAGAAGCTACTGGCCCATTTCACAGAACTTCAAAATTCCAAGGTATCTTCACTCTTAACTACCTATTTCACTGGAGCCACACAACATCAGTATCTGATTAGAGCCAGGACTTTTGCTATTCCAAGCAAGCACCAAGGTCATCTTTCTGAGTCCCCAACCCTCAAGGTAGAAGTGGTTACTTGTGTGTGTGCATGTGTGTGGACTGGGACTGGGACTTGAACTCAGGCTCTTGCTTAGCTTTTTCAGTCAAAGCTGGCACTTGCCCACTTGAGACACACCTCTACTTTGGGTATTTTGCTGGATGATTGGAGAAAAGAATTTCTTAGGTTTTTCTGCCCAGGTTGGCTTCAAACCACATATCTCAGCCTCCTGAGTAGCTAGGATAACAGGTATAAACCACTAGCACCTGGCTGTGAAGAGGTTTCTTTATTCCATGTCCTGCCCAGTCTCTGTGAGGATGTCCATATACAAGAGACTCCCTAAGCCAAAATCGAGATTGCAGCTATCTTGCATTTAGTGCTCCAGAACCTTTGGACCCTATGAAGCTAAAATTTGGGAGAGACTTTGGTGTTATAGAAGACTCAGATCCCTAACTGTATGAATTTCGAGCAATCCCTTTACTTCTCTGGTCTCAGTTCCTTATTTACCAATTTGAGACATTACTACCACTTTGCCAAGTAATAGTGAGAACTGAATATAGGTGGCAGTGTTTAATCAACTATGGAGATGTAAGGCATTACATCTAATGTCTTCCATTACATCGAATGTTTTCTAATTACATCTAATGTCTTCTAATTATTTTCTAATCAAATGCCACACTCTCACGCTATTCCTAAGTACCTGGAAAAAGACCAGACACCTAGAAAGAGCTCAATGGCAGTCACTTAGTAGTCTGACACACAACCCTGCCCCTTAACACCTCTCAAACACCCCAATAGATGAGAAAGTTGCAGTTTTAGGAGAATACGCTCAGAGCTATGCAGTGAATGGCAGACTAGGATTCTGTATACTCACAGATGATCTCCCCTCCAAAAAAGGGAGGTAGAGGAGATGAGGCTCAGAATACATTTAATGGGAACACCTTGTCCAGACAGCAGCAGTTAGTTGGAGATAACAGCAGTCCTAACCTAGGATAGAACCCTAATCCAGGTGTGTTTGGGGGTCTCTAACTCTGCCAGCCTGTTTTGTTTTGTCTTGGAGACAAGAGTCTCACTGTGTAGCCCAGGCCTACTTCTGCCTCCCAAGTGCTGAGATTGTAAGTATGCACTACCATGCCCAACTTCTATCACCTTGAGCAGCTGAAGAAACACCTATTCCACCAAATGAGAGGGTGGCAGAACCAGAGTCACTACGAACAAAGTACCCGTGCAAAACAGGAAGGGGTGAGGAGGAGACTTGGATGGGAAACACATACTTATTGAAGAGGTTCAAGCCAATTCTGTAATGCCGTCTCTGTACCACATCGTTGTTGAAGGCTGGCGAATCCCAGCTGTGCCTGGTCTCACGCTGGTAGGTCTGTTTGCACAGGCCAGTGGCTGGAGGCTCCCTCAGGCTGTCTCGAGAAGAGGAGCCAGAGCTGCAGTTGATGGTCTCATTGGAATTGCTAGAACTCTCCAGGCTCTCATTATCTCCACCATCAGAGTTTTCGCCTGCGGCCTCACACTTCCCCAGCCTCCGACCCCCAGCCACACCACTGGGCCCAGTGCCACTGTTGGGGGCTGGTGGCAGGGGCCCTGGTGGGGCTGGAGCTGGGCCCTCAGGGGCTGGGTAGTGGCGATGTGGGATTGGGGCCCTGCCTGGTGGCCCCTTGTGTTTTAGGGTCCCATGTGGGCTGCAGCCATCAGCCTCATATACTAGCTGGCGGTGAACAGAGCCGCGATCTGAGCGGTCACTCAGGTCCACGGAGCTGTCACTAGGAGGCTCAATGGTAAGCAGGGGAAGGTGGGCAGCTCGCAGCCGGAAATCCCGGCACTCCAAGCACCCAGGACCCCTACGAGTGCCTTCCTCGCGGCCACCATCTTCCCGAGTCCCTGATGGCACTGATGGAGGAACTGGCGGGAGTGGGGCTGGTGCCCAGAACTCAGGTCGGCTCTGGGGTGGAGGCTCTGCACTAGGAAGTCGTTCAGGGGATGGTGGGGGAACTGGGTCATCCAGGTAGAGGGGAAGATCACTGAAAGATGTGGCTGAGCTGTCTTCTTGCTGTTCCTTTGATTCCCGCTTCTCCAGTTGAGATGAGCCTGCTTCCTCAGACATTGACCCTGATGGGTGGCAGTTCAAGGCCTCGTCGATAGATTCAGCCAGTGACTTTACCTACACAGAGGGGAAGGGGAGGAGGGAAGGGAAGAAGGGGAGGAAAGAAGAAGGGAAGAAGGGAAAAAGGGTGGGAAGAAGGGAAGTGGGGAATCTTCCTGGTGGGTGAGCCAAGATGTTCTTCCCCCCCACCCCACGACTCCTGACGTGTCCTTTATGATTTAGCACATGGCTCCTAGGTAACCATCGTGAGCTCACAGGAACTGGGAGGAAAAGCCATATATTATCTCCTCCCTGATTTAAGTCACATTTTTGCTGCATCTGCCATGTTCCCCAAGGGAATCCCAAAAGTCTGGGCTCCCAGATCAATCTATGTGTTTCTATCTTAGGAAGTGCATAATATTTAGTTTTGTGAATGTGGCCCATGGCTAGGAAAACTTTGCCTCCTTGTAGTATTTAGCTTCCAAACTGGTCCTTAATGATCCTGCCTACCTGTATGCATTTTCTTGGGGAGCAAATTATATCAGACTTGAACTATGTAATGGTCAAAGCACACGGTAGAAGTGAAGCTTTGTCACTTCTGGGATTAGATTGGCAAATATTGCAGCTTCTGTTTTGAGAGCTCTCTGTGGTTTGTACTTCCTCAGATCCCTCCTCTGGTAGAAGCCATGCTGTGAGCAGTCCTAGGGAGGGATCTACATAGTGAGGTACTGAATCATAACAATAGCTGAGTGAACAAACTTGCGATCAGATTTGTCAACCCCAGCTCTGTTTTTAGAGACTGTAGTCCTACCCCTACAGCTTGATCACTGCCTTCCAAGAGAACTTAGGTGAGAGCCATTCAACCAGGCCCCTCCCAGCTTCTGAGCCTTTAAAACCTACAGAAAGTAATACATGCTTGTTGTTTAAGCTCCATGTTGAGGGTGAGTTTTCTTTTTCTTTTTTATGTGTGTGTGTGCTGCTACTGGGGCTTGGACTTAGGGCCTAGGTACTATCTGTGAGCCTTATTTTTTGCTTAAAGCTGAAGTTCTACCACTTGAGCCACAGCTCTATTTTTGGTGACTGACTGGAGATAGGAGTCTTATAGTCTTTCCTGTCCAGGCTGCCTTTAAATCACGATCCTCAGATCTCAGCTTCCTGAGTAGCTAGGATTACAAGCATGAGTCACTAGTGTCCAGCTCAAAGGATAGTTTTAAGCTATTAAATTTGGGGTTTGTTTTACAATAGACAACTAGTACACTATCCCATCAGATCTGTACAAGCACTGAGATCTGGCAGCAGGCCTGGTTCCTTTCTCTCTCCCACCAGATGGCAACTACTTATTCCTTATTCTTCCCTCAATGAATGGGTGCAGGTCCAGGTTCTCTCTCATTTATTTTTGTTCCAGTACTGGGACTTGTCAGGGCCTAGGTGCTGTCCCTTATTTTTTTTCCTTCAAGGATGTCACTCTATCACTGGAGCCACAGCTCTACTTCTGGATTTTTTGCTAGTCAATTCTCAGATCTCAGCCTCTTGAGTAGCTAGGATTATAGGGTGAGCCACTGGCACCCAGCTCAGGTTCTCTAAAGCTCAGCTCAATGTACTGCTTGATACAGAAGAGATATTTACTTACATCTGTTGTATGAGTGAACAGATGAATGATACAAGTATTTCTCTTCAATATTTCTTTCCTTTGTGTGTGTGTACAGGTGCACATGTGTGTTTCTGTGTGTGTATGTGTGTTTGTGTGTGTGTGTGTGTGTGTATACTATACTGGGGACTTGAACTCAGGGCCTTGCATTGTTGTTTGGAGATTCTGCTCAAAGTTGGAGCCTTGCAACTTGAGCCACAGCACCACTTCTGGTTTTCTAGTGGTTAACTGGAGAGAAGAGTCTCACAGACTTTCCTGCCTGCTATCCTCAGATCTCAGTCTCCTGAGTAGTAGGATTACAGGCATGAGCCACTGAAGCCTGGCTAAAATCAAACTCTTAAAATAAGGCTTTCTCTTCATATTGCTGATCATATAAGGTCACACAGCTGGGAAAATGGCAGAGCTGGGATTATCATCCTACTCCCTCACTGTCACTTATATTCTCATTATATTCCATTTTTGCTAATACCTACTCAAGTGATGCCCTCCCTACCTCTTTTTAATCTTCTCAGTCTGGTAAGGTCCAGTTCCAATGGACCTTTCCAGTTCCAATGGAGAGTTCCAAGAACTTTCTCTAGTTTTCTCATAATCCTTTCTCATGACTCTGAGCACAGTCTATTTCAGGAGTCAGTAATGCACACCACATATGTGGTTTCCTACTAGACAGAGAGATTCTTGACATCACAGACCAGAGCCAGTACTTTAGACTCGGTTTCCACCTCTATAAATGGAGATAAGAATCTCTACTTCTCAGGCCTGTTTTTTCTCTCTTTTTCTCTTTTGGCAGTACTAGGGCTTGAACTCAGGGCCTTGTGCTTGAAAGACAAGTGTTTAATAATTTTAAGACTCTCCTTTAGCTCCTTATAGGTCTATTGTAAAGCATACATAGCAGCTGACAACCTCTAGGTTTCGTTTATTTTTTAATCTTTTATTATTTTTTTCAGCTTCTTACTATGACATCCAGGATGGCCTGGAACTCTTGATCCTCCTGCCTCATATTCCCCAGTACTGGGCTTATAGATGTGTGCCATCATGCTCAGCTTAGGTAAGCCTTTATTTGATAGTAGATCAAGTTTGAAACAATGAGAACTTTTATTTTCTTATTTTTTCTATACATGCATATTTTAACCTGCTTGTTTTAACAATATAATTGCTTTTTAGTTTTTTTGTTGTTGTTATGTTGTTGTTGTTGGTGGTGGTGGTGGTGGTAGTGATGTGTGTGTGTGTGTGTTGCTGGGACCAAACTCAACACCAAGCTACTAAGCTACTGAGCTACATACCCAATCCTCTTTTTGTTGTTGTTGTTGGTCGTGGGCCTGGGCACTGTCCCTGAGCTCTTCAACTCAAGGTGAGTGCTCTACCACATGAGCCACAGCACCACTTTTGGTTTTTATTCTGGTGGTGAACTGGAGATAAGAGTCACAGACTTTCCTGCCTGGGCTAGTTTTGAACTGTGATCTTCAGAACTCAACCTCCTGACTAGCTAGGATTATAGGCATGAGCCACTAGCGCCCAGCCAACCCTTTGTTTTTTGAGACAAGATTTTATTGTGTGCTTTAACACAAGGTTGGGCATTATCCCTTATTTTTTTCTCTCTCAAGGCTGGCATTCTGCCACTTGGACCACAGCTCTACGTTTGGCTTTGTGCTGGTTAACTGAAAATCAAAGTCTCCTCACTTTTCTACCTATGCTGGTTTCAAACTGGGATCCTTAGATCTTAGCCTTGAGTATCGAGAACTACAGGCATAAGCTACCAGCATCTGGCTTGAGACAGGATTTCTCTTTGTGGTCCAGCCTTGCCTTGAACTTGCAATCCTCATGCCTTGGCATCCCAAATTCTGATAACAGGCATGCATCACCATGCCTAGTTGTAATTATATATATATATATATATATATATATATATATATATATATATATATATATGCTGGTCCTGGGCCTTGTATTCAGGGCCTGGCCACTGTTCCAGAGCTTTTGTGCTCAAGGTTAGCATGTTACCACTAACCACACCTCCACTTCTGAGGGTTTTTTTGGTGGTTAATTGGAGATAAGAATCTCATTGACCTTCCTGCCTGGGCTGGCTTTGAACGGTGATTTTCAGAACTCAGCCTCGGGAGTGGCTAGGATTACAGGCGTGAGGCACCAGCACCTGGCTTGCTGTAACATTTTTTTGTCTTGCCAATTCTCTCTCATCATTATCACCATCTCAACTATTTGTTGCTATTAAATGCTCATAGTAAAACTTTTTTTTTTCCAGCTTGGAATATAGGTTAAAAAAAGTAATAGGAGCAGACAGAGGCTGGGAATGGGGAAGAAAGGCCCTTTTGCAGGGATCCTGACCTGTTTGGAGAAGGAGTCCTCGAGCTCTGTGATGTCATTAGAAAACTCTCCAGATGTGGTGACAGAGCTTCCACCTCCATCGATGCCCCCACCACAGGAGCCTCCATAGGGGAGTCCCCGTTCAAGTCGGTGACTCCGGGCCCCAGCCATGGCACCCTCGTCCAGCGAGGCAGGCTTGCCCTCGAAGTACGCAGGGTTCTGTGCCTTCTCATATTCCTCAAAGGAGAACTGCATTCGCATGTTGGACAGGATGATGCGACGGGACATGCGGCTCTCTGAAGCTGAGCTGCGCAGTCGCTCAAAGTTCTTATTCATGCGGTACTGGCGGAAGGCTGTCTGGATGGTCCTGGCAGCCCTGCGACTCAGAAAGGAGCCCCCATACTTCCTCTCCAGCATTTCTACCTATCAGGAGATGGTTGAAGGGAACAAGTTCAGGAAGCTGCCAGAGCATCACTATCCTGGACCCTCATCCACACCCCCACTCATAGTTAACTGCTGTCAGCTACCCCAAAGAGCCAGGCTCTTCAGATAGTGCTGGCTACATGGGACTGAACTTGGTTTTCTGTTTGTTTGTTGTTGTTTTTTAATTTATAAGAAGGATACTTTCATTATTCAGAAATAGAAAAAAAAAAGAAAGAAGCCAGAAAAGCAAGAAAGGCAGAAGTAAAATGGAGAACAAGAAGTTGCAGAAAAGAAGAGAGAAAACAAGAGGGAGAGTAGGAGGGAGGAAAGGAGAAAGAAAAAAGGGAGGGAGGGAGGAAAGGAAGGAAGGTAAAAGAAGGGAAGAAGGAAGGCAAAGGAAGGGAAGAAGGAAGAAAGCAAGAAAGGAAGGACAGAGGGAAAGAAGGAAGGAAGCAAAAAAGGAAGGACAGAAGGAAAGAAGGAAGGAAGGAAAGAAGGAAGGGAAGAAGGAAGACAGGCTAGTTCACCTGAAGCCCAAATACCGAGGCATGCTCATAATTAACATTTTGGTATTATATCTTAACAGTTTCTTGTTTCCTGAATGTAGTGTTTTGTCCTTCCCCTTCTCCACTTGTTTTAGCTTAATTGTGAGATTGCATCAGCATTGTGAAGTTGTCAACTGATGTGTGTACTTCTCCTCCCTCCCCCCTTAGATTGTGTCACTTTGAAAACTGGCTGCAAGTCTCACTCCTCTTTCCATATCTAGGATCCGTATCTAAGACATGGAGCACAAATGTTTCCTGAGCGAATCCAAGATTTACAGGCTACTTACTGGGTGGTGAATGCATCCCCTGTAGGGTGAGAACCAGGTTCCTTGGAGCAATCTTATCCAATTTCAGCTTCACTCTCCTTCCCTGGAGACCACCCACAAACCATCTTAATCCCTCCCTCAGCTGTCTCTCTCTTGTGCCCCTCCCCCATCCACAACCATAGAGTTGTGGCTCCCAGCACCTTCTTATCCTGCAGATCCGTGGAGAGTTCGTAGCTGTCCGACAAGGCCTTGGAACGCTTTATCTCCTCTTCCTCCTGCTTCCTCAGGGCCACACTGGCTGGTTGGAGGCGTGCTCGCTGAGCCCAGGGAAGGCCCACCCCAGCAGGGGGGCCCCCCATGTGGCTGCTGGTGGGGGGCAGCTGGCTCAGTCGGTAGGGGGGGTGGCTCCCAGGACTATCAACCGCTGTGCTCAGGTCACTGCCTGGGGCATCACCCTCCACACTGTGGGGATGAGATAAGATGAACCAGGATGTGGCAACAGGAGAGAGGCCTGCTGGGCCTGAATGAGAATGAATGGACCAGACCCCTGACCCCCATACCATCTTCCCATGCTTCCTCATAGATCTAGAGACTCCTACACTTAGAGGCCCTTGAACTGTCTCCTCATTGCGCACATGGTCTCTTCCCTTCACGCCCCCTTGCTTCCACAGCCCTCTCCTCATTCCCTCCCAGCCCTCTTAGAGCATCATCCCCAAGCACCTTTCCCTCAAGGCTGTCTTCTCAGTATTGTCCCCAGCCTTACCCCCAGCCCAATCTCCTCCCATTCCTTTCCCCCTAACAGTTCCAGCTTCAAACCTTGCCCCCCTCCCCACAAAGACTACCCACGACCCCCCTCCCAGCCCTGTCTCCAATGCTGTGCGTAGTTATTTCCCTCCCAGTGCCAGCCCCAGCACCAGCTCAGGCAATTTCTCTTGAAATGCCACCCCCTTCCAGCACTGTCTCCTGGTGCCTGCACCTCTGCACCCTGCCCACCCAGCTTCCCCTCCTTCCACCCAGCCCTGCCCCTGCAAGCCCGCCCCTGCCCTTAGCAGCCTGGAGTCCGGGCCTGGCCAGTTCCCAGAGTTCCCAGGCTGCTGCTGCTGCTGCCGCCTCTGCTGCTGCTGCTGCTGCTGCTGTTGCTGTTGCTGCTGCTGCTGCTGCGAGGGCAGGGCGAGGGCGCAGGCTCAGCGACAGTGGGAGGCGCCTCCCATCCAGCATCCTCACAGGTAAAGAGCTGCCCTGCGAGGCAGCTTCCTTTTCCTCCTCATGGCCTCCTCTGCTCAGCTGAGGGAGGAGGGCAGGGGGTCTCGAACCGAAGGGTGGCAGGAGCTGGGCCCTGGGTCTTGCCTGCCCTGGTTACCCAGAGCTGTTGTTCTGCCAGACCTGCTCCCACGGTGCCATGGCAACCATGCTGCCAGGGAACCCAGGTGGCGACAGAGCCCAGGCGCCTTGGGCAGATCAGGCATGGTGAGGAGCTGCAGAGGTAGGGGAAACCCAGGAGAGGAGGAGCAGACAGGTGGGGCATGGAGGAGAGATGGGGAGCGGTGGATGAGTGGGGCTGGGACTCAAAAACTGGTCTAAGCTTGAGGGGATACCAAGTTGACTCTTGGCTGGTGAAAAGGTAGAGGAGGCCACTCCTCAGCCCCTCCTTGGTAGAAGCCAGGACACAGGTCAGAGGCAAGTTGGGGCAGTGGAGGTGGGTTCCCTATTCACAAAGGAGCTTGCACGGCATGGGGGCTGCCAGCACTGGCAGCAAAAGTACTCTGTTCTAGGGGCCATGGGTGGTGGGGGAGGAGGCTGCAGCCATGGCATAGGCCTGGACTGAAGTGGAGTTGAGCTCCATCCTGGTAGGAACACCCACCCACTGCTCTTCCTCCACCCTCCCACATGCTAGTTTGCAACACTGCCCAGGACAAAGCAGAAATAATACTCCCAATTCCCTCCTTCCACCAGTCACACCCAGCTCAGCACACCCCTAGATAGAAAACATTCTTCTCCTTTCCCTCAGGACTGCAGGATCCTACCCACCAACCTCTTAAATCTAGCTCCTTTTAGAAAAAAAAAAAAACTCAAGCCCCAGTTTTGATCAACTGTCTCCTACAAGAGATAACCTGAACTCCTTACTCTGGTATTGAAGTCCTCCTCCAAGTTAAAATGAGCAATGCTTACCACTCTTCACACCTAAGGATATAGTTGCTCTTCCAAACAACTCTATGAGGTAGCTTTTGTTATTTTATCTTTACAAGGCCCAGGCAGGTTAAGTAACATATCAGTGGTCACACAACCACCAATGATCCAGCCAGGACTCCAATCTAAGAAGCCTGCTTCCAGAGCCCACACTTTTTCCAACACTAAGCCACCAGCTCCCTATCCTATGCACTCTGTTTTTCCCAAATATTCTTAGCTTCCACCTCCAAACCTGCTCATATACTACCTCCCACCTGCAGAGCAATCCCCTCATCACTGTCATCTGCAATCTGATGACCCACCCCACATCCTATTTCCGTTAAAATTTATGTCATAACACCACTACTCAGAAGCCCTCCTGAATTCTTCCACTAGCCAGAAATTACTGCAGAACCTGTTCAGAGCTCCCACACACGGCACATGGCTGCCCTTCTTTTTATGGCATAGATTAGCTTTGGCAAAGCATGCCAGTTATTTGTGTGCATGATTTCCAGAATCCTAGCCCAGGAAAGAGAATTTGGGAATCTTCTAGCTTCTCAGAGCCTGGGTTGTGGACCAGAGTTAGTTACTCAACAAAAGTTTCTGGTATGAGCAAGTGGGTGAATGTTCTTGGGTGGCTGCTCTAATAAAACTCTCACCCAAACTTGTGCTACAGCCTCCAGTCTCCTTTTCCAATCTGTTCTCCATCCTGTGACCAGAAAGAGCATTCAAAAATACAAATCTAACTATCTCACTGTCTCCCTGAAAACCCTTCCACAGCTGCCGGGAATCCACTTGACAAACAATAACTGCAACACTTTCTATACCAGACACAGTGCTAGGCACTAGAAAGACAACAACAAACAAGATGGATAAGCATGTTCCCTCAGGGCTCTGACAGTGTTGTTGGAGGAAACAGATGATAAGGCAAGAAAACAGAGCTATCCTTTCAGATTGAGGGTCCATGCCAGGAAGGAAAGTTAAAGTGTTAAAAAGGTGCTGTTTTCGGTGGGATGGTCAGGGAAGGCCTTTTAGAGGAAATGACATTTAAGCAAAGCACTGATGGAAGTGAAGGAGTGAGTTGTGTGGCTGTCTAAGGCAAGAGCAGTCCAGTGTATACAACAAGTATAAAAGTCCTGAGAGAGAATTGTACCTGCCATGTTTAAAGAATAGTGAAGAGGTCAATGTAGCCAGAACAAACAAGGGAGACTGATAGGTCATAAGATCAAAGGTAATGGGGACAAGTTGTGAAGGACACTGAGCCTATGAAAAAGACCCTGACTTCTGCTCTTAGAGATGAACTATAGGAGGGAAGTGTTTCAAAGGAATCATCATCAATAGTATAGCCTACAGTTTCTTCACCATAGCCTCGAGGGACTTTCCTGACCTGACTCTAGCCCCATTATCCCCATCTGGCTACCACCTGCCTGCCCTTCAAGCATCTAGCTCAGGTGTGCCCTTCCATACCATTATCTCCCCCACCCAAGCTGGCTTACAGGCCTTCTTTGATGCTGTAGGACTCTGCAGTCACTTCTGTCCCTAAAGCAAGGGCATCAATAGACTCACTGAATTCTTGCAACTCATTGAGGAAGGCACCATCAGCCCCATTTTATAGATGGGAACACTGAGGCATTCAAAAGTGATGTAAAATTACATCAAGTCACATAGCTATTAAGTGAAGAAGTCAGGATGCAAGCATAGAGCCCTGGCTGTCTCTTCATGCTATCATATCACCTCTCTTATTTCTGCCCTTGGCTCTCTTCTCTTTGGCAATTCCGCCTCATTTTGGTTGCAAAGGAAGCAGTGGCAGGAACGTGCCCTGTTGGCACAGCTTCACAAGGAATGGCCTGACAAAAACAGGGATCTGCCCAAGGGATTGCTTCTGATATCGTACTACTGAAGAAACAGGAGCTATGGAGTATGGAGTCCTTTGAGTCAAGAGTTTCCCAAAACACTTGGGAATGTGCTGATCATGTAGAAATCAATCATCAATCAGTCTGTTGTGTGTGCACATACATACACACACTCTGTAGAGTAAGAATTAAGTGGACCTGGGTTTCAGTCCTGGCTGTCATTGAGTGTGAGCCTGGGTATATTATGTTTCCTCTCTGTACTTCAGTTTTTCATTTGTGCCAGGGACTGAACAAATGACAATTTCTTCTCTGGATTCCTGGACTTCAGAAAGGGCCTAGGAGACCCTTCTTTTTATGAATTCCTCCCAGCCAAAAGCATACACACACACACACATACACACACACACACACACACACACACACACACACACAAACCAAGAAACAAGAGCACACAACCCCAGCCCCCTGGAGCTAGACATGAATACATGCACACACGTGTGTTTGCCACATACGCACAAATACTCATGTGCACTGTCTGCTTGGCTATTCTTTGGGGGAAATGAGAGCATCCTTTGCAGAGGGGGAAACAAGATATTACACAAATAACCACAGTCCAAAGCGGAAATTTATCAGGACTGGAGAACAGAGGAAGTGCTGGGGGAGGGTGGGAGAGAGATCCCTTCTGCTTGGGGGTGGCTGAGTAGAATAAAAATAAACTAGCACTTACTGCTCACCTTCCCTGTGGCAGGCATTTTCCACACATTATTTTATCTGCATGGCAAATGTGAAGAAAAGAATTAGGATTCCTATTTTACAGAAGATGAAAAAGGCTCTGAGAGTGAAAATGACTGCCAATGGTCTCAGTGCTACCAAGTGACAGACTGGGGATGCAGATCCCAAGGCCTGTGCTGGTCCTCCTGCTGCTTTGAAGACTTCCTGGGAAGTGGGGTGTGGGGGAAGACTTGTGGGCTGCATCTTGCTTAGGGAACAAGCAATGAAGGGACCATGTGAGCCAAGGCTCTAAAGTGGTAGGAAGTGGGACAGGCCAATCCCTGTGGATTTGGGGCTGGCCTGCCCATGGTGGGGGAGCACTGACCCTCCCTAGATGCTGCTCCTGATGGGAGGTCTTCTTTTCCTCCTTCCCTTTACTGGCAATGCCTAGAGCCAGCAGGGGATGGGATCAGGATGCAGTTACCATGGAAATGAATGGGGGCTGTTGCCATGGATACCATAAGCCGAGGGCAAGACGAAACAAGGAATGTTGAGGGCTATCCCCATGACAACTTAGGCTGGGGGAGACCGGAAGTGAGAGAAAAACAAAACAAGACACACCTAGATGAGGGCCAGGGGCCTTGGGCTCTGGAAAAAGATAGCAAGATCAGAGCTAGTGGAGAGTAGCAGGGGTGCAGAAGGACAGCAGTCACCTTTTCCTCCTCTCATAGC